ATGATATGAAATAAGCATGAGTACAAATAATAAAGCTCATTTGCATTGGAGTATAAACGCGGAAGCAAAAGCAAATGAGCATAACACAAGTGATATGACATATTAAAGAATTCAAAGTAGAGAGCACACATGTCATATATCACAATCACGTAGATATCACTATCACATAGATAAAATAGTATGCATGAAAGTAAACACACGAATGCATAATAGTAATAGTGTATCACACAAATAAAACTCCAAATGTATATAAAAGACAAATAGCTAACTAGCTCCCCCTAAAAGTCGCTCCCCCTGAGTCTACATACTCGAACCCTCTCCTCCATTGGCGTCAAACACCAAAACCTAAGGGCTGGTCGGCGGGGCTGTAGCGGACGAGTCGGGCGCTGAAGAATGAGGAGCAAGCTGAAACTGGGCAGCATCATCATCTGACCCTGAGCTCTGTGCTGACTGACCCACTGAAGCACGAAGTGTCGCTGAAGCGGTCTAGGTCTGAGATGGGGCAGGAGCTGCCTGTGATGCTGCTGGTACATCTGTCGTAGGATCTGATGATGCGACAGAAGAAGGGAGCCTCTAAGTAGTCACGGCGATAGGAGCTGCTGTAGAAGGACCCAGGGCATGCATATGTGACGGTGTAGGCATCCCTGTCAACTCGCTGAAAGATGCTCCAAGACTCCTAGAGACTGACGTGTCAGGCACAAATAGCGAGGATAACTGTTCCGGTGTGAAGCCCGTCTGAAGTGGTGTGAACCACGGGGCTACCACTGGCGAGGATAACCACTAGGACACCTATACTGGGGGAGAAGCAAACTGAGCTGGAGGCTGTCCCTGACTCTGAAACCCACTGGATTGTACTGCTAGAGTCGTCGTAGTGGTGGCAGGCTGAGCAATCTAGGGCGAAGGCTATGGCTGTGGGGCCCCAAGAGCTGTCACTACATGCTGCATGAATCCCATAAGCTGCTGCTGCATGAGTAACTGCTGCTGATGCATCTGCTGTTGCTGCTAGAGGACCTGCTGCTGGCGCTGGAACTCATCCTGATGAGCCTGAAACTGTGCAAAGTTGGCAGCGGTCTCTTGAGCCTGTCGTGCCTGATCCTGCTGCATCCGCTCAAGAATGGCAATGAGAGTGGGGTCCGTCTACGGTGCAGGTGGAGCTGAGCTGGAACTGCCGGCCTCTGCAACATGTCTGCGTGGAGGCATCTGAGGAATAGGCAGGTAGTCGTCATCCGAACTGTCACTAGACTCGCTCCTCTCCTGCTGAGCCTCAAGCTGCTCCTCCTCAGTAGCTGCTATGCCTCTGATAATCTCGTCCTGCTGAGCTACGGACTCTGGTACATCTGGGCGACGACAAGGCTGACTGGATGCCTGAGGAGTGCTGTGTCTGATCCTCTGTGCCATGTTATATGCTAGGAACTCTATGGTGGCACCTCTGTACTCTGCAACCATCTCAGATGTCCTGACGGACACTGCCTTCAGCATAAGAAATGTAATCCAATGTGCATAGGGAAGCTGCCTGCGACCCTTGAAGCCCTCAGCAATAGTATCCTCCATCTCTGACAGAAGGAGGTCCCAAATATCAAAGACAGTCTGCTGCATTAGTGCATTGAGAAGCCAAAGCTAGAGGCGAGTCAAGCCCTCTCTGTATCCCAACCTGGGAAGTAGTGTCCTCCTAATGATAGCCTCTAGCACTCTAGCTGTAGGTGTAAGATCACTAGGGTTCCTCCTCGACCCCTCACCAAATGGTTCCTTGAAGCAATGGCGCACAAGTTCTGTAGGTGGCACCTTACCACCATGAGGACGCCTAGGAGGCTCTTGTTGTCCATAACAAACCTCATGTAACTTGACAGGCTGCTCCTGTAGCCTCAGTATCTCCCTGGCCATAAAACTCATCATCCTGTAGTCTCTGCCTCTGAATGCAAAGTGTATAAAGTTATGATGCGGGTCAATGTAGAGCGAAGCATAGAACTACCGAACCCAAGATGGTACATACAATCCTATCCGGCCAATCAGATCTGTCAGCCCCAGCAAATATGATAAGTAGAGGCGGATATGCTCTCCGGCTGCTGCCACAATAGACTCTATACTGCAAACCCGCTGAGATCTGAACACTGCCCCACTATTGAGATAAGCATTATAGAAATCCTCCTGCAGTAGCGTGTCGAAACCCTCTGCTGCTCTCTCATCCCTCCTCGGAGGAAACCACACATCAAACTCCATGAAGCGAAGCTGCTGAACCTGCTTGGTCATGGCGGCCCTCAAGTCAAGATGTACCACTGGAGGAGGACCCTGAGGTCTAGGCGGTGGACATGATCCCCTCCGCTGTGTCGGCGGCCTCGGTAAGACTGTAGCATGGGTACGACCAGAGCGGCGTAGCTGTGGCTGGGGTGCCTGCTCGGTCTCCTCGGCCTACTGGCCCTCCTGAGTCTCCTAAGCTGGCTGAGGCTCTACTGGTGGGGGCTGCTGCTGTGACTCCCCCTGAGGCTGAGGATCCACAACGGGAAGACGTCGTCCTGCCATCATCATAGTATCTGGTGGACTGCCATGAAAACGCTCAGCCTCCTCAACTACTGCCCTCTGTGCTGGTGTAAGCTGCTGATCTGCAATCACAACCCCACTACGAACACCTACTCTCTTGGCACGCTCTGCGGCCTCTGCAACTGCTGCTGCACGAGCTGTCTCTGCATCTGGGTACTTCCTCTTCTTGGATGCAATCTTCTTTGTCACCTTGCCTTTTGGATCAGCAGGCAAGCGAGGTGGTGGCCTCTGATCATAATCTCCTGGACCACCCCCGACATTCTTCGTGCGAGCCATCTGAAAAGATCAATTGCTGCCAACAAGAACAACTGCTGCTGTCAAGAGTAACTGCCCTGACACTTCCGAGGCTTGGCCTCGATCCGTACTCGCGAGCTTGGCTCTGAGTTGACTGACAACTGCCACACGACCTCAAAGGCACCGACTCGCTGCATGATGGAATAGATAGATATACAAATAAATACGATATATCTAATAGATGCAAAACCCTATGAGAGCAAGCAATGTAGATACGAAATTGAAGCGACTGGCTTGCTACCTGACGAACCGACAAAAAGGAGAGAAGCGTCATGCGGGGGATCACCGGGACTACTAGGGTTAGGGTTTGTGAAGCACTTCGATGAATCGGTGGCCCTGGATGTGATCTGAAATCAATGCTTTGAAATCTATCTAGGTCACGGGCAAAACACAGTGGGTGCTAGGGCATGGCCTTACCGGTGAGGATGGGAGAGAGTACGCTGTAGTGGAGGCTCCGGTGGTAGATGCAGGCAGGGCACGATGGCGGCACGAGAGAGGGTCACGGCGGTGAACGACGGCGTGGGACTGTGGCGGCAGAGGCAAGCCCGGCGTAGAGCATGGTGCAAGTGCGGGCTGTGCATGGGAAACAGCGGTGTGGGCACGGGAGGCGCGCGGGAGGCTTGCGGATGCGGCGGGCGGTGGAGCTCTTCGGCGATTGGGGCTAGCGGCGGCTCGAGGAATAGGATGCGGTGAAAATAGGGCAAAAGAAGCAAGGTGCTGCGATTAAAAAGATCCCCTGACGTGACAAGAAAGGAAATGGATAAAGAGACCTAAAGCCGCATAAGATCTACTGACCGGACGCTCCGGTGGTAGCGACCGGACGCTACCACCCAGCGTCCGGTCGATTCCAGTGAGGTCCAATTCCTCTGGAATCGTGACCGGACGCGTCCGGTGGTCCATGACTGGACGCAGGCAGGGTCCGGTCAACTCAGCCTGTTTCTTCTTCAAACGACCGGATGCTGAGTTGTCTTCTGACCGGACGCACAAACGCAGAGTCCGGTCACTCCTTCAGCAGCAGTTCACCTCCTGTGAACTAATCGGACGCTGGACATCAGGGTTCGGTGCAGCGTCCGGTCACTCTTTTCTAGCAAATCTTCAATGATCCTTCGCGTTGCCTGTTCCCAATCAAGTCCCAACTCCAATAAGATGCAAATAAACACAAATTGGGACTGATGTGAGTGACCTCTCTCAAACCCTCAAGTTTTTCAAAATATTTTGCCTTAGGCTATAATTCTTTTTAAGAAAATAGGCAATAAGAGGGCAATTGAAGATAAACGACAAAGCAACATTCATGCATATGCAATACTTGAATGTAAATCTAGTTGCTTGTCAAGTTTGATCCAAGGTTAAGCTTCTTCACACGTTTTTCGAAGGTTATCTTAACCATGTTAGACAAGCTCTACAGCAACACCTCATATTGATACAGATCGATTCCGGTATAGAGACAACAACATATTTAATATTTAACCCATGTTATACACTGGAAAGAGCCATGAATGTCTTTTTTACAGAAATGGTCAGATTGCCAAAACCTGCAAGATGTGTATCCTAATCTGAATACTACACCATACATGACCAAATATCTGGGTTTGGTAAAGTTTGAGACCTAAACACATATTAATCTTAAATAAGTTGCACAAAACTTCTTCAAAACGCCCATGATCATTTCCCCTGCACCTTGTAAAATCAGCATTAACACATCAGTGTGCTGCAATTTTCAGAGTTATTAACCGAGTATGTTCTTCAGTGTTATGCACGGACAGACTCCAAATGAATAATTTCACAGTGATTCATGTGACTCCATTTTGTCTGTAATTGATGCAATATACTGCTGAAATGGTTACTGCACGGCACAAGCTAATTATACCATGCTTGATGAAACCTCACGTATCTTGTGCTTTCAACTTATACAGCCATTATTCAGCTCATTGCAACACTGAACTTTAAGCCAATCAGTTTTTTTTTTTATGGTACGTGTGCTACTCACGTAGCAGCAAGCCTTGAGCGGTGACACCCCAATGATCAGACTCACGCGTGCACGTGTCAGGTGCCTCTCCATGCACCCACCCCACGCGTCGCGTCACACTGATCCAGGCATCCAGCTCCTGCAGGCTATATAAAGTGATAAGCCTCTTCGTCCTCGTGGCCGTCACGGCCCTTGCAAAGTTGCCATGGCCACGACGTCAGCGCGGACGCACGGCGACCAGCAGCCCCACCCATACGGGCTGCGGCAGGACCCGCTGCGACGCATGCGGGGCCTGGACGCCAAGTCGGCGCTCCGGGCCAGCCCGCGCACGGCCACGATGGCCGCGGCCGCCCTCCTCGTCCCGCTAGGTGCCGCGCTGCTGGGCGCCTCGGGGCTCGCGCTGGCGGCAACCCTGACCGGTCTCGCGGTCGTCACACCGCTCCTCGTGATCTTCAGCCCGGTGCTCATACCCTTCGCGCTGGCCGCTGTGCTCATCGCGTCGGGGCTCCTCGCGTCGGGCGCGCTCAGCGTCGCGGGCGTCTCGGCGCTCACGTGGGCTATCGGGTACGTCTGGCGATGGCAAGGCGAAGGCGGCGGCGGGGTGACAGGGATGGTGGTGCAGCCGCTGGATCACGGGTTGAAGCGGCATGGCGTGGAAGGCGGCACCGCTGCGTTCGTGGGGCACCGGCCCCTGCCCCAGGACATCGATGTTGCTAGTGCATGATGGTTTGGCGACGTGTGCAACTTTTCTAGTTCGCAGGTGTGTGACGCATGGTATGGATTTTAGCTTGGATGGATCACACGATGTTGCAGAGGATGTGTCTAATTTACAGCTGGAATAAAACAGATTTGTGTTACCTGTAATAATAACGTTTATGGGAAAATTGAAATACTCTCTCCATCCTATTTTTTTATGATTAATCTACGTAGCACCCGAGCATTATTTGGGCTCACCTCACTCAGAATCTTCAGCCGTCGGATGTCGAAGGCCCGCCTCTCTAGAAGCCTCTCCACACTGCGTGAAGCTCAGCACACTCTTATCCTTCCTATCCTTATCCTCTTCTATCCTCTCCATCACAGCGCTCTCCTCCATTACCCCCGCGCGCATGCTTTGTCCAGCGCGGCTCCATGCCCACCTGCGTGACGCCCCCTACGCCTTCTTCCTCTGCTCCATGCCTATCAGCTCCGGCGTCCGGCCTCCTCTACTCGGTCGCGGGACGGCATGACAGCGGGCGTGCCTTCTTCATCTGCTCTCCGCCTGCCTCCTCCGTCTGCAGCTCCGGCCGGCGCTTCTCCCTGCGGTGGATTGCTAGTTTCTATAGTATCTGTAAGCTACATTAACACTTAGTCTCTCCGTCCACAAAAGAATGTAATTCTAGCATAGTATCATGGTTTTATATTTTAAGTTCGATCAATTATAGATAAAAAAGTATCAATATTTATGATAATAAATAAATATCATTAGATTAATGACGGAATGTATTTTTATAATAAATTATTTTAGAGCCGTAAATATGAATAGTATTTACTAAAAATTTAGTTAAACGTGAACTATTTTTGCTGGCATGCAACACTATTATATTTTTTTTGGACTGAGGGAGTATATGCTACTATTACTAGTTTTACATTGTAGGGCGCAATGTAATTTGTTTAGACTACGTGTAAATTTCTTTTCTGAGTGGTGTAAACTTATGTGTTTGTTGGTGTAATTTGCTTTTAGTTTGTAAATCTTCATTCTGGAATTTGTATTTCTTTTTTTTTGAATTTGTTCTAATTTGCCTTCCATAGAATAGATCTGGTTATTTTTCTTTTATTTTTATTGCATTTTAAATCTGCTATCTGGAATTTGTATTTCTTTCTGTTTTATTTGAATTGCTTCCAATTTGTGTTACGTAGAAAAAATCTGGTAATATTTCTTTTATTTTAATTTGCTTTTTTTATGTTTTATTTATTTGAATTTATTTGATTTGCATTTTCTAAATATTATCTATTAATTTGTTTTTTATTTGGCCATTGGATGGATTTTGAAAATCAGGTGATTCCTGTATTCAAATCACTCGATTTTATCTGCTTTGCAGAACTAAGTGATTTGTAGCCCTCTATCACTCGGGTGTTAGGAGGGTAAAAATCACCCGAGTCTACAGTAGGCACTTTTTTATATTCTAGGATTTAATAAATATCCTGTGAAGATGTTTTAGCTCTTATATACACAATAGATGAGGCTATATCAGTATTAGATTGTGGTCTGTATGTCTTTGTAATGCGAGATTTATTCTTATCTTAGAAAATAAAAATCTTAGAACTTTAGTGCGTGATTTATTCTTAAAAAATAAAATCTTATAACATCGAAGTTTTTTTGACAGAGTGTTTTTTTTTTTGACAGAGTGAGTAAGACGCACCAACAAGCGGCTCTTGATGCAGCAAAGCGTGTCCTCTCGTACGGCACCAACATAGAGACGGTGGATATTCTTGCCGTTGCTACCAATGGTCCCATACGAGTTTTTCAAATACCAATTTTAGGATGATGTTAATGCTAATTACGTCACGTACTAGCAAGGAGCTACGTTATTCAGTAGAGGTGGGCAACGAGCTAGATTGTTTGGTAGAGGCAGGCTAAGGATCTGCCTAGTGATTTCGGTAGAGGCAGGCTAAACCTAGCAATTTTTTGGTTGGTCATTGTCTAATAATATAGTATTCGTGCATAAACAATTCACCTAGTGCTTCAGCGATGAATGTGAGATACAAGACATGTTGTTAGAGAAGTCTATGTAAAAAACATGCCGATGAGGTCAACTTGAAACCACCGATGAGGTCTCTTTAACTTGAAACATGCTGATGATATGTAAAAATGTAGCAGGTTAGTTTTTTTTTTGTGTGTGTGAATATAAATCAGCGAACGAAGTGTGTATTCTGCGAATTGAATGCATGATCTGGCAGGTACTTCTCAAATTTACAAATTCCTCTCAAGTCTCAACTGTTGATGCATTCTTCCGTTAAAGGCGTATAAGACCTACAAAATCCTAGAAAGGGCTAAACCAGTACTTGCTATCAGAAAAAAAAGACGAGAAAACAACATCAAACAAGCAAACAAGAAAGAAAAAAAAAACAGCAAAAGGAAAACAAGATTCGATCCGATCAGAATTTATCTCAGGGACATTTCACGTTCCTCCCTGGCCCTCCGTAGTAGAAGTAGCTTCCCCAGTAGCTGTTAGAGCCTCCCTGGATATCATAGCATCCGGGGTGATCGGCGAAGAGTTTCAGGTTGGCCGCCGGGATGAGGTTGTTGTCCCAGTCCACCACCTGCAGGTTCCGGAAGTAGGCGGCGCGGTCGAAGCCCTCTCTGGGGAAGTGGCCACTGCCCATCTGGGTCGCCGTGTGCGACCCCGAAGGCCGGGTGTTGACGACCTCGCCGCCGAACTGCACCATGTTGGCGTGGCGAGCCAGGTGGGTGAAGAGGTACGACGGCCAGTACCCGACCACGAGGCCCGGGCCCAGCTCCAGCCACCAGTGCCCGTGCTTTGGATCCTGGACACCATGCATGGACCACTGGTGTCAGAAAAACTTCACGGCAGGCACATTAGTTTGCTTTGGATCCTGGACACCATGCATGGACCACTGGTGTCAGAATAGGTTAATTAGTTACCTTCCATAACATGAGAGTAATGTCAAACTGCCTGCCATTGTACACCGATTCCGGGGTGATAGCCGCCCCAACCGCAATCTTGTTCGTCGTCTGCACGAATCCGCGGCAATTGTGGTTGTAGCACCCGGTTTCTTGGTACGCGTCAGTCTGCAGAATGTTCGTTTGATAGGATCCTATATTATGTATGGTAGAAAAAAACATGTGACTTCCAATTAATGTCGCAGTGCTTATCCGATAAACACACTTACTGTCCAGTAGGTGAAGAATCTTGGGTTACTGTCTCCGTATAGCTCAGGGCTTACCTATTAAGCATAACACACATTATTGGATTCATACTGCTAATTACTATCTGCTCATTTCTCTGATCTGTTCAAATGTACCTGCCATCCAGCTTCGATGGTGTTGAGATCATTGCCGAAAGAGCCAGAGATAACCCAGATCTGTGAGAGGCTGAACTCAGATGGGTCACCTATCCTTGGTGACCACACATTAACACTGGCCTTGGCCCCATAGTAATGTTCGGAGTTTACATACCCAACTGCATGCTGTAATCAAGTGAAAACCCATATCAGCAACATACAGTCCCAACAAGGGTTCCAGTGAGATTTGACTAGTTTAGTTGGCAGTACAGTACTAACACGGCCAACTAAACGCTCTGGACACAAGACAGAGGAACCATATTTACTTTAATGGCCAGGTCAAATGAGCTCATGATTCAAGAAGCTCTGATTTGCTTATCTGGATTAGCTTAATGAAGATTCTGTGCAGATGTTGAAAACGATTTTGTCTCTTGGCATGTCTTAGCCGGAGATTAGGCTTCTCGATGAATTGAATTGAGGCACATTGAATCTGATGTCTAAAATGAGAATTTTTTACAACTCTGAGTTTCCACATTTTTCGGTTTACTTATCCCATTTGCTAACTTGATACACGTCGAGGTCTTCAGTTATAGCAAAAGATTAGGTTATAGGACAATAAAGCAAAAATGAAACTGGTAACTACATCAGTGATGTAACGACCATGAAAACTTTTTCATCAAGGCCATAGTGAAGTAGTTGATCCACTACAAAATCGCATAACAGGATGTTCCCTAGCTTATGACCAAAAAAAAAAAAAAAAACAGGGGAAACTTGATCTTGACAATGGTCAAAGTTCACGATCTTATCCATAGAAAGTCAAAAAATATATGGTTAAGTACTATGTAATTAGTGAAGTTAAAATCGAATAATAGATTTGTTTTCTAAAATGAGCTAAAAAAAGGACAGCAAATTTTTGCCTAGGCAGCAGTCAAAGTTTTTTTTTGAGCAAGTTTAAGATCTACAGAAATCAACAATATGTCTGACGACTGACTGTTAAGTGTTAAAGTCAAATAGTAGTAAGCCTTGTGCCTAAAGAGGCCAATCGAAGCTTCACTGGCTGCATAGAGAAGTGAATTTTTAATGTTATGTAAACGCATGGTTCTTTGGAACCATTTGGGCTATCTGATTAATTATCACTACATGTTTGAACTCATCCTTGAAATTTGAGGGCTTTGTCATTGACCTAGCAGCAAGCATCGGAACCTAACAAGGTGAGTTCTTACTTAAATCACTGCTATCAATATAGAATATATGTGTTCAAAATTCAGCAAATACTAAACATCATCAAAACCGAGACAGAATTGCACATGCTACTAATAAAATCTGTGCTATAGATAAGTAGACAGGAGTCTAACAACTGTCCTGGCCACTGACTGAAATAGAGTATATATTTCAGTGGCCAGGTTCTGTGGTCAAGCATGCAGAGGACATGTAAAAATAAGATGAAGAGGACAAAGCGAGGCATGGATCTTAGTAGGAAGTAAATTTTCTCCTATGGATTTTTCCCAAGTGAAGCTTCTGTAGATTCATGCAAGCAGTAATTGTTGTGCTATCTTGGTCCAAGTGCACGGGCTTCGCTTTTGTAGTTTTTCTACTTTGGGGCTTCTCAGGTTACTAATTTAATTATCCCTGCAGTAGAAACATCTGTTTTCTTTCTTTCCTTGTGCACTATAGGGTGCTGCATCAATTTTAGGTACTATATATGCTACTGAATAAAACAATTAAAATGATTTGCTCTCTGGTGTACTTAAAATTTCGGCACTGCAAAAGTTATGTGCATGCCACTGCAAAGCAAAGAAAAAAAAACTACGTTGCCTTGCTTAGTGCCATCTACCATGTCAGGAAAGCAGTAAACAATTTTCTTTTTTAAGATCGAGAAGGAAACAATTGATTGCATTACTATGGAGTATGGAATATGTACCTTCTGTAAAGAAAACTCTGGACTACAGAGTTTCTTTTCATCACTTTTATATCATTTCTTAATTTAGTAGTAGTATGTAAAATGGAGATTGGAGAACATTGGTCGTAATAAGAACAACCTCATGGCCGCTGCTTGTGGAATCACGGCGAACGCCTCGGCGCACAGGCTTCCTGCCGTACCTCCTGAGGGAGCGGGCCCTGAGGAGATCCTTCTCTGTCGTCCGCCGTATCGGCACCGTCCCCTCCGGACACGCCTCGCCAGTGGCATGCCACGCCTGCACCACCACCTCGCCGACTCTGCTGCTGCCGCTGCCGCTGCCACTGCTGCCAAGGGTGAAGTTGCAGTTCTTGGGCCTCTCCGTTGGATCCTAATAGATCAGCATTAAAAGTCGTTTAACGTATAACATGTGTACAGCTTACTAATAATACTAAGCAAACGCCAAAAGAACGAATCTGTGTGTTGGTGTTAGTGTTACCAGAATCTTTTGGCCTCTGAGCTTTGGGTGGTCAAATGCAGGCTGGAGGTGAGAGGGAACACAGTCTATGATATCACCATCCGAGCTCTGCATGCAAAAAGAAACAAACAAGCTACAGATTCGCGAACCACAAAGGGAGATCGGAAAGAGCCTGCTCATGAAAAAAAAGGATCGAAATTAAGTTTCAGGTTACGAGCAGTGACCTGGATGGTCTTGAGAGCAGGCTTGTTAAGCTTGGTGAGCAGAGCCCTGATCCTCTTGTGCTTGAGCAGCTCCTTCCCCGGCCTCAGCGTTGCAGCAGTGGCATTGCCGCTAGACTCGGAAGATGCCAGTGCAGCAGTGGCGGGAGGAGAGGCCAGCAAGAGCATCAGCAGGAGGAGCAAGGGAACAAAGTAGAAGCTACTGCAAGAAGCCATGGCCCCCCAGAAATGCTCCCGCAGCTGCTTGTCTGCTTCTGGCCGCGAGCACACACTAGGAAGCACAAGCAATAGTAATAGTGCGTGGTTGTCTTCTTCCTCCCTAGTGCCTTGCGACTTGCGAGCAAGCTTCTTGGTCCCTTGTGATTGTGAGCCTCCTTCTCACTGTCCTTTCTGTGTGTATCTCTTTCCTTTGAAGCGAGTCTCTCTCTCTCTCTCTTAAAACCAACCCTGTGTTACTTCAAATCAAAAGAAAAATATATAGACAAAATGAAGTGCGGGGGGAGACTGCGGAGACCGGACAATTGGAGTTCCCATACAAAGCGTTAGGTGCTAATGTGCTATAGATTTATGTGGCAATAAAACACTGCAGTGCCAACCAGCGTTCAGCTAAAGCAAGGGGACCTTGCCCTCGCGCGTTCAGCTAAAGCAAGGGGACCTTGCCCTCCCCTTGCCTGCTTGAGCCCGGTCACTGGGCCTGACATTGTTTCCTCTTCTCCATCTCTATCTACTATTCTCTCCGTTCTGAATTCAAAATTGTAAAATGTTTCAGTTTTTTATGCATAACTTTTACTAGATATATAACAAAAACAATATATCTAGAAAAACAAAAATACCTTACTGATTAAAACGGATAGAGTGTACAACACTACTAAGGGCAACCACAATGATAAAGAGAGAAATTTAGTTTTATCAATGTCATCTATGGAGAACATAATAGATTACCTCTTCTAATAATTTATTCTAGCATGGGCTCTAAAATTTTATAGATCCATATACAACATTTTTAACCACAGATCTATATCCAACCTTCCTTCCTTTCTCTAATCTCGATCTCTCTGCGAAACGTCAGCTCGGGTAATCTATTGCCTGTACTCAGCCCAAGGTGGACATACCTCGCTCCACCCCATCACTGGCAGTCAAGCCCACGCCTCAGATCGACGGTCGTGCCTGCAGCCTTATCTCTGGCGCCAAGCTCCCTTCATCGGCATCTTCTTCTCCACGAGCTCTCATGCCTGCATTGAGGACCTCACTCATGTGTGTGCCCTAACTGTAAGGGGACTATGCTTGGCGGCATCAGACGCGCCTGGCCACAACACTGGACCTTGTCATCCCTAGTGACGGGTGCTGCGCTCGATGGCGGCCGCATTGAGGAGGTGGCTCATCCCCAGGTGATCAGCCCCGTGAGTTCTAGCTCCACACCCACATGTGCACGCCGGGTACCCACATTACATGAAACGATGTGCCAGTGAAACTTGCCAGGTGCCTGTGAAACTTGCCAGGTGCCTGTTTAGTTTTCAAAATTTTGCAAAATTTTTCAAGATTTCTCGTCACATCGAATCTTTGGACATCGAATCTTTGGACGCATGCATGAAGCATTAAATATAAATAAAAGTAAAACTAATTACACAGTTTAGACGAAATTCACGAAACGAATCTTTTAAGCCTAATTAGACTATGATTGGACACTAATTGCTAAATAACAACGAAAGTATTACAATACCATTTCCCAAAAAATTTCGTCAACTAAACAAGGCCTAGGTCTAGAGACCATTCTCTCTCCCTATATTTCTCTCTCCTACATTCCTATTGTAGCGAGCGTTAGGGTAGTCCCAATGAAAAAAACTGATGCGGTTTCCATAGCACAAAAAATCATCTATAGAAACTACATTCCACAGTGAAGGTGTCTTTGTGTAATAATTATTTTCTCTTTGTCTCTCCCAACTCTATCTTCTTCCTCCAATAGGAGTGTGGCACGAGCCCCCTAGAAACTGGTGGTTTCTCCCCAATGGCGATTTCATGGTTTCTTGATGCATTGGGTCAAGAGAAGACCTGATTTCTTCACGAGGAAACCATTTCTAGGATTTTTGCTCTATTTCTTCATTAATTACGTTGCCATGTCAGCATTTTACCTACGTAGCAAGTCATTTAATGAGGATAGAAACCATCATCAATACACCAGGGCAGTCCCAATGGAAGAAACTGATGCGGTTTTCATAGCACAAGAAATTATCTATAGAAACTACTTTCCACAGTGGATGTGTCTTTGTGTAATAATTATTTTCTCTTTCTCTCTCCCAACTCTATCTTCTTCCTCCAATGGGAGTGTGGCACGAGCCCCCTGAAAACTGGTGGTTTCTCCCCAATGGCGATTTCATGTTTTTTTGGTGCATTGGGTCAAGAGAAGACCTGATTTCTTTATGAGGAAATCATTTCTAGGATTTTTGCTCTCTTTCTTCATTAATTATGTTGTCATGTCAGCATTTTGCCTACACAACAAGTCATTTAATGAGGATAGAAACCATCATCAATACACCATTGGGACTGCCCTTACAATACCCGTTGCCGATGTCCTAAGCGCCTATTTTTCATGTAAGAAAACACCGGTTTCAAATCTGAAATCAAAATTAGTCATCGTAGGTTTAGGAGCCAAAGATTTTATGGACATGGTGTCGCTGCAACAGATCCGTCCATTTTTCTCTTTCTATCCTTTCCTTATTTTCCATTTTCTTTTTTATACTATGTACCCATGATTTTTCTATATGCTATGAACAGATTTTTCAAGTTGAGAAGTTTGTCAGAAACAAATTATGCAAAAGAATTATGCTGAATAAATTTTGTGTAATTTTTAAAGACGTTGAGCAATAAAAAGTTGTATGTATAAGTTATTATATAAATGCTTAGCTCGAAAATTTACGTTTTAAAAGTGTTATGATAAGTTGTCCATTGACAATTATGAATAAAATTTGGGTTCCAAAGGTCTTGTAGAAAAATCGTCATGACAAGTTATCTATAAAATTGCATAAAAACTATATTGAAAAAGTTATGATAACTAGTTGTGATGATAAGTTTTATGCCATAAAATATTGGACACTTTTAAAAAAAAGGCAGGCTGTTTTTTAGGTGATCCGCAGGGCCGCCTTCTTCTCCGGTGCAACCCTCACCCACTTCCTCTTGCTCTCATGCTCCCTCTCCAACGACCCTCGCCCCCGCCGCTACGGGTGCGCTAGTGCTTCGCTAGACCTCTAAGGCCGTGGAGCTCTAGCGAAGCCCTAGCGCACCCGCGGCGGCCACCTTCTCCCCCATCTCGGCGGAGCTCCCCTGCCCCGACCTGGCCCGGCCGCCTCCACTGCCACCATGGCCCCTAACTACCCTCTAGCCATCCCTACCACCTGGCCGCCCTTCCTCCCCCCAAATCTTCCCTTCTAAGCTTGCTGGAGTTGGGGGAGATGAAAGGGAGAGTTCGTCGGAACCCTAAATCGTAGATCCAGGAGGAGGAGGATGAAGTTGCCTACCTCACCGGCGTCGCCAGAGGGGAGAGGGGAGGAGCCTCATGGGGAGCAAGAAGGCGCTACGTCAGGTGCAAGGTGGAGAGTGCGTGCGTGCATGGGGAGGCCAGGCCGTGTGTGTGCGATGCGTAAAAAAACTGGCCGGGTATGTTAATTAAGTCATTACCTAAAATATTATGCACAAAAGTTGTGAAGTTTAACTTTCTAACTTTCCAAAAATAGAATGTCATGAAAATAATATTTAAAAAAAAAGATATAAAAGTCCCGAAGGTTATCTAAGGGTTCATTGTTTTCAAATCCAATGAACATTCGCTAATTAGTGGAGGCAGTTTCAAATGCTAGGGAAAGATTATCGGTATTCATGTTAAAATTTAGGTACTTGCATTGAAATGTCTATATGGAAAAGGAATATAGTAGTATATAAAAGGCATAATATAAGAAGTTCTTTTCTTTTTTAATTGCATTAAAGTGAGTATTATGTAAATCACATTAAAAAGAGAAATCACGTGTGAAAACACAAATTTTGCCTATATCCATATGCCTCAAATTGTTAGCCTTGCAAGTGAGAGATGAATCTCAAACGTTCCCCCTCCCCCTTTAACTGCAATACTTCGTTGATGGGCTTAACTACATGTTGTTTGTGACTTTGCATATGTTCTTCTAGGCTTCGTTTATGTTAGAGTATATCATACCTTTGATATAGTTAGCTGGAATTATGATCCCATGTACCGGCTTGACCCGAAAGTCATGCAAACTCTAGGTATCCCACACAAGGGACTCAATACAAATCATGCAATTACAACCAATTCTATTTCTACATAGTATCATGAATTCAAGTTTCGATCTAGGGCAAGACATCCCTTCCACAGTGAATGTACTCAAAGAGATCGATCTCCAATGGGGGTAGTGCCATTGTTTAGGCAGTAGCTCCTCACTCTCCTCGTCATTCTAACATGGGTCATAGCATCAGGTTGCCTACCTCCACATGTTGTCCTTATTCTTCACTGACACCTAGATCCATTGATCAGGACCACTGATGAGGACATATCGTCGGATACAACCTATGAGTATATGGTGTGCTCGTTCCTACATTTGCATAATGATAAAACTAAGAATTGGTTGCTACTGAATATTAGTATTTCAAATATGCTTTGGAACAGTGGTGATGATGATAGAGTATGGATATGCCATGAACAAGACCGATCTTGGAGTGCAAGTTCATCAAAGTCCAATATTTGATTCGTCGGCAACCGTGCTTCATTAGGAAGGCCTTAACTCATCCATCCGGAGTGTGATTGAGGTCAATGAGCACTGATGGAAAGCTTGTTTCATAAGATTTCAAATAGATCTGGTCCCACCTCAATATCATATTGGCAAGGTCTTCAAATAATTACAACAATCTGCTGCTCTTTTTGTCGGTTGCTACAACATCGTCTTGGGCTTGCCATGCAACCTCGGGACTTGGGCCCAAGTTGGAGCATGCCCCAAGGTGACGGAGAACACACCAAGGAAGTCCTTGGACGTCCTCCTCCTTGGCCACCATCTTAGGAGGCCAAGCCAAGACGAAGGCCCAGTCTAACTTGAGTTTGAGTCTATATCGGCCTTGAGGACCAACCTGTAGTAAAATGGATGCCCAGGATGCATCCAAAACTCCATTTTTGATGATCCACATATGGATGGAAAGCTAATTTCATAAGCTAACCGATAAAT